GCAACATGATGCCTTAGTCGAGGAAAAACATGAATGACTTTCATAGAGAAACGTCTGCATACCCCTCGCAAGGATCTCACTAGGCGGATGTTGAAAAGGGGCATGTGCTTTAGAAGGGTTGCGGCAAAGGAAATGCGATTCTTTGATGTTCTTTGGCAGTTTATGCAGGCCACCCAGCCCCTCTATCACTACCAGCGCGAACAAGCCAAGCGGGAGTGCCCCTGGTGCCACAACAGGCCGAGCTTTCTTCGGCTTGCAAACTTGAAGCAGGCTTCGGGCTGCTTTACTTTTGGCAAGCTGCCATTCGTGAAGAGGGCGGCGGACACCGTGCTCAAGCAGAAGGCTCGCAAAGGGCTGATAGTCAACGGGTCAATCTCGATGGTGTTTGAACGACTGAATCCTTTGCTCACCGTCTCCCTCGATGATTCCACCGCCGCCTGGCATGGAGCACGCGGGCCAGTTGCCGCTCCCAAGACCTGGCTCCCAAAACTATCAGAATCGCGATTTACAGGGTTGATGCCTCTCCCGACCACAGCGAAGCAGCAAAGTCCTAGCACATGTTCCACGCTCCCGCCAGCTCGACCAGACCTGCCTTAGCAGTTTGAGACAACATCTTGACTCGCCGTCATTGCGGGAACGCTGGCCTTAAAAAGTGGCCCAATCAATGCAGGGGCGGGTGGCTCCAATGAATTCTGGGCAACTTTCAACCAAATCCTCCGCTTCTTGTCCGTTTCTCGCCGCGAGTTCGCGCACAAGGCGCCAAGCCTCGGCGCCGCGGCGCATGCCGCTGATGCTGGGGTAATGCTCCCGCCAAGAGTTGCGCACAAAGGAGTGCGAGGAGCTGCCCCGCGAAAGGCTCTCCCGCTCCGTCCTAGCGTCCGCATGGCTCCGTGTTTCTTCGGGGCTTTTTTAAGGGAAGCTAAAGGGAAAACCAAGTTGCTTGTGCTTTTATTTTTTGGGGGGGCAATGCTTAGTTTGACTTTGACCTTTGACATACCCACATGGTGCCAAAGGAACGACATTCAAAGGAGCTCTAGAATTGCCATGGCCCCACGTTGAAGTGGAAGAGGTGGAGCCGTAGGACAAGTGGGACTCAAGAAACATGATGGGGAGTGCATCCGATGCAGAAAAAGGCAGCAGGTCGCCCATCATGTTTATGAATGAGGCACCAGCAATTATATACATTGGAATTTAGGTTGTGTTTCTGAGTGCGTGTGCGTGTGCGTGTGCGTGTGCGTGTGCGTGTGCGTGTGCGTGTGCGTGTGCGCGTGCGCGCGCGGGTGCGGGTGCGGGTGCGGGTGCGGGTGCGGGTGCGGGTGCGGGTGCGGGTGCGGGTGCGGGTGCGGGTGCGGGTGCGGGTGCGGGTGCGGGTGCGGGTGCGGGTGTGGGTGTGGGTGTGGGTGTGGGTGTGGGTGTGGGGTGGGTGTGGGTGTGGGTGTGGGTGTGGGTGTGGGTGTGGGTGTGGGTGTGGGTGTGGGTGTGGGTGTGGGTGTGGGTGTGGGTGTGGGTGTGGGTGTGGGTGTGGGTGTGGGTGTGGGTGTGGGTGTGGGTGTGGGTGTGGGTGTGGGTGTGGGTGTGGGTGTGGGTGTGGGTGTGGGTGTGGGTGTGGGTGTGGGTGTGGGTGTGGGTGTGGGTGTGGGTGTGGGTGTGGGTGTGGGTGTGTGGGGTGTGGGGGTGGGGGTGGGGGTGGGGGTGGGGGTGGGGGTGGGGGTGGGGGTGGGGGTGGGGGTGGGGGTGGGGGTGGGGGTGGGGGTGGGTGTGTGTGTGTGTGTGTGTGTGTGTGCGTCTGTGCGTGCCTGTCGTTTGTGCATGTGTGCGCGCCTGTGTCTGCGTGTGTGAGTGTCTGTGTGTCTGCTTGGCTGCGTATCTTCGTGTCTGTGTGTCTGTGTGTCTGTTTCTGCTTGTGTTTGTGAGTGGTTGTCTGTGTGTGTGTTTGTGTGTGTGTGATTGTGTGTGTGTGCGTGTGTGCTTGTGTGTCTGTGTTTGTGTGTGTGCGTGTTTGTGTGTGTGTGTGTGTGTGCGTGTTTGTGTCTGTGTGTTTGCTTGTTTGTTTGTTTGTTTGTATGTTTGTTTGCTTGCTTGTGCGTGCGTGTGGGCGTGGGCGTGGGCGTGGGCGTGGGCGTGGGCGTGTGGGCGCGCGCGCGTGCGCGTGTGGGTGTGGGTGGGTGTGTGTGTGTGTGTCCTTGTGTTTGTGTCTCCTTGTGTTTGTGTGTCCTTGTGTGTGTGTGTCCTTGTGTTTGTGTGCTTGTGTTGGTGTGTGTGCGTGCTTGTACTTGTGTGTTTGTGTCTGTGTATGTGCTTGTGTGTCTTCGTGTGTTTGTGTGTCGGTGTGTGTCTGCGTGTGTGTGTGTGTGACTCCAGCCTCGCTGTGGACTCCTCGGGTTGATCACCCCGGCTCTCCAGCGTAATCTCCGACATGCTTCGCCTCAGTTTGGAACCAGGGTGCTGGTCTTGCAAAGAAACGCAATCGGAACCCCGTGGCAAACAAAAGGCACAAGCGCGACCGCCAGGATGGCAAAACAACTTTGCATGGACCCTGTTTGCCAGCGTCGGTGCCGTATTGTGCCATGAATTGATATGGGATGCTCACTTGTTATGTTTGTGGACGTGCGTTTGCGGCCAAGCCGAAAGCAAAGTCTCTATGGGTTTGGGAGCTGCAAAAAGCTGCAGTGCTCTTTTTCTTAAGATGCAGACGTGTGATAGTTCTAAATGACTTGTGTGGTTGCCATTGAGGGTACCAATTGACAAGCCTGTGCTGGACAGCAACATGGACGCCGGGGTGCTGCATCGAATAGGTTTGCCGAGGGCCAGGGCTGCGACTTCTGGCCTTCGAACGCAAGCCGTGGTTTGGTGGGCAGGGACCCCGAGAGAAATGACCGGCTTCCCTTTGTTCGGGAATCCCCCAAAAACGGTTCATTCGGTTCATTCAACCAACACCCGCACTCGGTCATTCCCAACTGGGCACCGGCAAGTCTTAGCCAGCAAGGGTCGGGGTGCTCATGTTGGCCCTCCCCAGCCCCAATGTGTGAGCTTCCGGATTTCAGTAGCTTGTCAACAGGGACACGGCACACCAAGCAAAGGATTGCCCTCGTGTTCCTGCTGCACGTGCCAAGTTGGGACATGAAGGCTTAAGCTGACACAGACTTGGAGCTCAACTGCCCCATTCTACTGGGGGATTTCCGAGAATGCGGATGCTTTTTGCATCCATCCCGAAAGGTCCTGAAGCTTAGCCCATCAGTCCCGCTTATCAGAAAGCAATCCCGAATTGCCGGCCTGAGCTTTCAGGTGCAGGCTCTCAATCACCATCTCCTGCTTCAAGAACTGCGCCTGGCGGGCGAGACATGGCATGGGATAGGTTGGCCAACAGAAGCAACGCCCGACGCATCACTGAGCCGCTGTGTGCGGCATGAACCTGTGTGGAAAACGCTGGCATGAGCTTCATGCTTGGACTCGGTTGTGTGGTCAACTCAGCTGGACCACGTCAGCTTGGCCACGCGGACTTGTGTGCCACTCATGCAGATAGCGCACCCATGAGCACTCTAAATCTTCACACGCATTCGATTCTCGAAGGTCCCAAACCCAATGAGCACATTCCACCGGTGAATCGTGATCGGCATTGCCCTGTTGAGAAAACTTGCAGCCAAACATATAAGGCGAAAGCCCAGACCAGCAAACTTGGCAGCACTCCTGGCAATCAACACAGGCATTCTCCGAGCCACAGCTGTGCCAAGCCTCAATGAATTCTCGTAGCTCCACAATTTCGCGGATGTATTTGCTGTCAGCATCTTTGGAATTCGGCGGTTCTTGTAGCGGGCCTGAGGCTATGCTTGTGCAAACCGAATGCGACGAGCGGTTCAGAGGTCTTCCGCAAGCCCAAAATCAGAGAAGGAGTACGAGTCTTCATCATCCGAAACATAAAGAACATATCATACGATCATACAACCCTCTGGTGGAAAGCGACGCGTGACAACCTCGAATCCTAGAAGCTATGGGATGCCCTTTCGTGGACGGGCGTGCAATACATGTGTCACTTTTCGGTGCAGACTATATAGTTGTAAGCTGTTTGCATGACTGACGCAGGCAGGTGATTGCAATGATGGACAAACTTCACAGTTCATCCCGCAAGTGAAATCCATACAACATGTGCTTGAGGGCCCGGTCTTGCTCAAGATGCTGTGCTAGTTCGGCTGTACATCCACGATATTGGCATAGCGGCCAAAAGCAAGCCAACGCCATGAACAATGGCCTAGCATCGATCGGCATGCGACACAAAACCGTGCGCTACATTTGAGCAATCTGGTGGGATGAGGGCCCAAGCATAGCTATCCTTTTACGAAAAATAGATGGCCCTGGTAGATGATTAAACCACCAGGTAAACCAGGGCCATCATTTTTTAAGCAAAACAACCAAAAAGGACACCAATGAGCTGTCGGAACACCTATGGGCCCAAGCTTCACCATGACAATTCCCCCAGGCTCCCATGGCCAAGCTGCTGGACGCGCCCGAGTCAAATTCCTTCCCATCGGACATGGGCCCGGCGACCCGGCGGCGCGGCACCGACGCTGCGGTGAGATGTTTCTTAAGCCAGCGGGGCATTACGGAAAGGCCAGCAACTCACCAAGGGTCTGCGAAGAGTACGGTGAGTACGGTTCACATGCATTTCTATGATGCACATGGGCAGACTGGTTGGCAAGAATAATCCTCTTTGGCGCATGGTTCTGCAACATTTAGCGGAGCGATGCCTTGCTTTTCAGGTAAAAACCTGCAGTGCATGGGACCTGCCATGTGAACATTCCCTCCAGGCTACCGTCCAGTTCCAGGCGGCCCGTATGACATGGATCTTTTACAGGAAGCTCCCCCCACCACCACAAAATTGTGATTTTCCGTGCGGTTTTCCTTGCTTGAAAACCACCAGCCAAGGGGGTTTTCCAACTGTAAAAACGAAATCGAGCCATGGACCTCCCCCGCAGCCGCAGCCGCCGCATCCCTGAGGCGAGTGCCTCCGCCTGGCACTTGGGGCACTGATTGGCCACACGCGCCTCTGCCATGGCGCTGCTGACGCAGCGCTGGCCTCGGAGGCGCGTGAGCCACGCTCCAAGACCTGATTACTTGGTGCTACAAGGCGCTTCTCTAACCCTTCAACTCGTCACCCCATTTGTCGTCTTCACTCATGTTTTCATGCGCATTGTTTTCAAATTCACTGGTGCCCCTCTCCATGGAAATGTGCGTGAATGGCCCCACATTGTCCCTCTCGCTCCCTCTGTCGTGCTATCAGATTTCAAGAAGCCATTCTGCCAAAAGTGACTGCTCTGCTGTGCGTCAATTAAGTCAGAAAAGCTCACAATACTCCGGGGATCCCATGTCTTCCTGCGCTGCTCCCGTGCAAGCCGTTGCATCTGAGAGGAGGGCAGAAATTGGCTCCGCAACAAACAGCGAGCACAGCCTGGCGCCAACCGGCAAATGCGCCAGAAGTGATTGTAACAAATAGCCTATGATTTTTGCGCACGGTCTGAAAATAGGAATTGTCGAAGTCTGATGCGCTGGGTGGCTTGTGGCATAGTTTCCAAGCACATCTCGTGTAGCCTGGTCGAGAAAGTCCCCGCAAAGGGGGCATTTCAATGCGTCCTGCACGCGCAAAAGCTGTGGCACTGCTGGGCCAATGATTGATGCCGCATGGCAGAAGCTAAAGCCCAATGTCAGCTGAGTACCTCACCACGCCTGGAAATGCTCGGTGCAACTCCAACTCAAGAACTCTCCCAGCATCCGCTTGGAATGATGTCCCTGTGTCAACCAACTTGGGACACATCAAAGTCGCAGGTCGGTCCGGCACTGGTGTAGGACCCGCCGGCCTGGGCGAGGCAGCATCACTCCATGTGGATGGGTGGACCCTGAAAAAACCCTGGGAGCTTCCGAAAGGAAAGATATCGCTTTGCTCATAGTATGGAGTGTCAGTCAAGCATGACGCGCCCTGTGTTGCTGACGTGCAGCATCCCCCAAAATGAGTATATGTATATGTACACATCTATCAGCAAACAGTGGGGACTGCTAATCGATTCGTTTCGAGTAGTTACCGACTGTACCCGCCAATTGGCGAAGATTCCGACGCACCGCCAAAGCTTAAACCACACTTGATGTTACATCTCAGGTCGACATCTGGCAGCTGCTTGCATTCGCCAAGTTGCTGTGGCTCAAACTGTTGCTCCGCTGGCACTTCCTCCTCGGGTGTCTTGACCTCAGCCCGGTGAACCCTTGCTACCGGAAGTGAGCCAAGTGGAGTAAAAGTTTGCATGCAGCAACCTCCGGGATTGGATTCACCAACAAAACCCTTTGGAGGCCACACTTTTCTGGGGATGGCTCCCTGCCCATTCCGCCTGGCAACGCCGTTTCGGCATTCCAGAACAACGAGTGAGGCACACACCACGCCGCCAGGGGGAAGATCCCAAGCAGTCTCATCGGTGGCCTCATTGTGGTAGTAAACATCGCCTCAGGCAAGTTCAGTCGAGTGAGCCGCAAAGCAGAGCATTTCCCTTTGACGCTGATGCACTTTCTGGAATGCCGTACGGAACGCCAGAAAGTAGACAGGAAGGATTCGCAACTCAAGGCTGGGCTAGGCTGCTTGCCTTCTTCTGTGCGCACCTCTGTCCAGTATGACCTTAGCTGGCACTGCGGCTGTACAAGCCGTGCACGCTCCCTCAAAAAGGATAACCCTCGAAGCCGCAGAAACATGCCACATGCCACGTGACGTTTGACGTCACACAAACCGCTCTGAGGCACGCACGTGGGTGCCTGCGCTGCATCCGCTGCGGTCGCTGCGTCCGCGGCCGGTGCTGCCTGGGTGGCAACTCCCGGCCCAGCCGCCGGCTGCGCCGAGTCCGGCTGCGCCGAGGTCGGCTGCGCCGAGGATGGTTGCACCGAGGCCGGCTGCGCCGAGGCTGGCTGCGCCGAGGCTGGCTGGGCGGTGCCCGGCTGGGCTGTGCCCGGCTGGGCGGTGGGCTGCGGCTGTGCTTTGGCCGCAGGCGGCCCGGGGAATTTGGCGCTGGGCCCCAAAGACCTTGCATGAACCTCTGGCTCCTGCCGCGCATCGTGCTGCTCCACCAGTCGGGTGAGTGCCGCTGGCGCTTTGGGCATGGGTGGCCTGGGCCATGGCAAAGCGGCACTCCGAGTGACCAAGCAGCACTGCGACTGGCGGGGCACACAGCTAGTGAGGTCGGTGGATCCCAACCACACCTGGCATCGAGCCTGAGGCTTACAAAGTTGTACACCCTGTCCACTGGGCTACACTTGGTACCGGCAAACTGTCTTCAGCTTCCGGCGCTTTCCCCTTGGGCATGCCCAGGCCAGGCCTCGACACCCGAAATGCATGGCTGTGTCTGGCCCCTACAGAAACGACTCTTGCCAAGATTACGCGGGACTCGTGCGCATGACTGGGACAACCTTCAACCCCATCCTAGGATTCAATTACTTTCTGTGCTCATCATCTTTGTTCAAGGGCAGAAAATGTGAGATGCAGCCTGAAGCAAACCTTTCCTTAAGGGTTTCCACGCCTGAGGGAACTGGAGAGCAGTGCAATGATTTGAAGCGCTCAGCAACCCTGGGCTCCAGCAGGCCGTGCAAGCCGAACTTCGCAACAAGCTTCCAAGCAAGACACCTTGATTGTGGCTTCGGGGTCCTCTGCCGCCGGCCAAAAAAAGAAAAACAAGAAAAAACTGGGTAGGGGCCATTCACCCGAAGGCACCCCACGAAAACAAGAAGGGCTGGGCAGCTGAATTGGGCACCCCACTCACGCCACAGGCCCCCAGCTTTGGGCTTTGGCGGCACCTGGCATTCGCGCATCCGCGAGTCCGCTGAACGGATGCATGGATCGGTGACTATGCCCCCGTTGTAAGCACATGCCAAAGGCGGAACGTACTTCTAGAATTCGCCACAGGCATAAGTACCTTCATCTGCTTCATGGCAACCTTCTCTGTTTCATGACCCTGGAAGAAAGGTGCAGAAACTTTCCCCAAACAAACGCACTCAAATGTTGACTGCTCCCCGGTCTATTTTGCCTTGACTTGAGAATCCACAGCCTACATTCTGACCTCCTTGGGCGAAGCTGCCAGCAAGATGAAGAAAGTCAATCCACGCGAGACGCTCGTATAACTTTGGGCATATAGCCCTCCAAAGCAAACAAACGCCAGCTAGAGCTAAATCAATCGCGCAGACTTGCCCTTTTCTGCGCTGTCTCGGCCCGGCACTCAGCAGTGCCACGCATGCAGGGCATTGCGCTGTGCTGCTCTCGCATCCACCTGCTCCCTGTGCATTACCCAGGCGTTGCAGCATGTTACAGTAAGCCGGCCGTACACCGGCAATTCATGTTCAGATCTTGCAACCTGCGGCTGAAGGCGTGCTGGCCGTGCTCAGCCCTGCTTCTTCACCTAAGACTCGAGGCACCGACACCATGGCTCATGGAATGTGCCTGGAGTCCTCTTTGAAACAAATGGCACGATGTTAAAACAACATCCCCAAAGGACAACAATGCTTTAGCCTGACTCCGGCTGGGCAACTTGCTCTTGCCGAGCCTTGCTTCCCCATCTGAGCACCTGCAACCCCCTAAGCCCATGCAAGGATCGTAAGACCAATCAGAAATGGTTGGCTCATTTCATACCAGGTTTTGATCATGACTCATTTCTGACCTGCACGGAGCCCTCGAAAGGCGGGTAAGAGGTTTGCCACGCTTGCACCAAAGAGCCGAGTTTGTCCTGCTGCTTTTCGAAGGCCGGTTCAAGGCACTTTCGATGATGTTCGAGGTCATGTGTGAAGAGCGGGGCGGTATACAATGCTTTCAGCCTAGCGCCACATGTTGGACATATACGTTCTGATGCGATGTGGCAAGCACATACTTTCCCGGCTGGTTCCCCTAGAACCGGCACCAAACGGGCACCACATCGGGCCACTCGCTGAGCTGCGAGGCGACCCCGTGCCAAGGCGCCGCGAACTGGGTGAACAAAGGCGCCTCCGCCGTGGTGGGCGCCAGAACCCCGTGGGGCACCACGTAGCTTTGCTCAGCTTGGCCTGGAAGCCCAAGAGTTGAGGGACCAGGCCCAAAACAGGCCTGACATGAACGTGTGAAGTGACAAATAAGTCATTGGGGAAGCTCCGAGCTACACATGGCATGTTTTTTGTTCTTTTCTTTTTTCCGGACAGTGGGCTCTTGAGTGGTCGTGCGGGATTGCAAGTCGCTGCCGGCAAGAGGGTGAAGGTCGGGAACTAGAGGGCGGCTTTGAGTCGCCCTTGGGACAGGCCAAACTTCCAACAGCAAATCCAAATTTGTTGGTTCCACACAAGCCGTGGACTCAAGGTGGCTCACATGCGACAAATGCCTGCTCCGCCTTGAGCGTTCTTGGCACTTGCCACGGCCGCAGCTGCGGCCGCGGAGCCTTCAGGGTGAGAATCGTTTCAAAGGGAATTTGTGCGATGGCGCTTTCCGTGCATCAACCAGCCCGTCTCGCCCCTATGCTTCCACCAGGGCTTTCCTTGAAGCCCGGGTTCCCATTCTAAGTGTGGAGGCCTTTGCGCATGGTCACAACATCCCCGGAAGCTTTGATCGCATCAGCCATACAAACATGACTCAAAAGTGCAGTTCAAAGCGCGTCTTGCTTCACCTGCAGCATCACCCCCCCCCCCCCGCGAAAAAAAAAACAAAAAAAACAGAAAAAAAAAGGAGTGGGGGCGGGGGGGTGGCAGTCAAAACAGTCCACCCCCCCACCCAAATATACATATGTATCTATATATGTGTATATATGTACTTATATGTGTATACATTTTTCTGGGATGGGGGTCCTCTGGGATGGGGGGTCCAGAGGGAAACCAGAAATCAAAACCCAGCCAACGAGACGTGAACTGCTCTCGCGCCTCGTCGCTTGATCCCGCCGGGCCCAACTCCCAAGACTTCTGCGCCCAGAGAGGTCCAACGAAACCTGGGCGTGGGAAGACTCCAAGCTGGCCGCATGCTACCAGTTGGGTGCTTTATCTTTCTTTTAAACAAGGAAAAAAACTGTCGCATGCACGGTGTTTTTTTTGCATGTTCTGATTTATAAAATCCCAATGCATTCGACGCTAAAAACAATGCATGTGCAACTTGCAGCATGCAACGGAGCTGACGCAAATAGGATGACTGGATGCAAGGCTGCATTTTAAAAGTGCAACTCATCAAGTGGCTTCTGGTTCCGTGACTTTGCATTTTCGTACTCGTCCCGCTCGTCCTTCCACCTAGGCACGGTCTGGATGACATGTTCCGCCAGGCAAAGCAACTTGGCTCAAGGTTGCCGCCCACCGCCCCGAAGGCCCGCTGACCACAGAACGCCCCATGTTTGAAGACAAGGACCAACTGACCGCAGCCAGAAACAGCCCATGTTCTCGCTATTTGCCTTGCAAATCAATCACGATCTCATGAAGGGTTACATATATATATATATAAATATGTATGGGTATGTGTGTTTGTGACACTCTGGTTTTGACAAGTCTCAAGCCTGACCAAGCTAGGTCGTTTCAGGCCCCAGGCCCCTGCAATTTTGCTACGCACTTGGCCACTTCAGTTCCCTGCCTGCCAAAGAAGCCGATGGCCCACACGCCCCCCAGAGCATCCATGCCGAGGTAGGGGGTGCAGATGTCAACCAGGAAGTCTAGGACGTACATGTACGCGAAGACGTCGGTGTTGGATGAAAGCACATCGCCTCATAGGAAAAAAAGAGAGGGAAAACATGGTTGGGACCTTTCTCCTTCGCCACAAACTCCCATCCCAAAAGGGGTAACCAATGGCAACATGCAAACAACATGTGAAGCTCAACCACTCCGAAAGGGGGGAACCAATCCCAGCTGGAGCTTCAGGCTCCACAGGCCGGCCCCGCTTTCAAATGAAGGCAGCTCAGGAGCACCTCATGGTAAACATTGACGACAGCAGCCTTGCCTCACTGATACAAAGTGGGAACAAGATTAAGTTGCACACGGTTTCACCGTGTGGCGCCGGGTTTTCACCATTTTGGGTCGTTGCTTCACCTCAGGCTCCCTCTGCAACTAGCCAAACATCAAAAGGGCCCTTCCCGAACTGCACGGAGCCAACCGCCCCCACTCCATCACGTTATGCGTCATCCAAGTTGCCTAAACTCTTGCCCGCAGAGCTCGCCACGCCCGAGCAGGCCCCCAAGAGCGATATTGCCAGCAGCAAGTAAAGCAGCAAGATGCCCAGGAGGTTGGTGTTCAAACTAGGTGCCTTAGCACCCTCCCTTTGCGCCTGCGCGATACGCTCAGGTTTCATCCCCAACAGAAACCAGCGGAACCCTTCCGGAAATCTTCTGGAAGCCTAAAGATAAAGTGGTAAGGTCCAGCCACATCAAGCAACATTTCTACAGAACATGTTTCCCACGGTGGTGCTGCAACTATCTGCAACTTTCGGTAGGCTCCGTCAATTGGGTGGCCAAGATACATTTGGGGTCTTCGGGGTGCCGCAAGGAATCTAGCATGGCTCTCTTGATGAGTAGGTACACGACAGGTTCTTCACGGCCATTGGAAACAAATGTCCGGCTTTGGACGTGTCTCCAGCTTGGGACCAAAGGCATGCAACCAGATCTAACCTTGACAGACCTGAAGCACACCAGCCGAACACAAGAGAGCCGTTCGTCAACCATCGAGCTCCACAATGCCTCCACCCGACAATCACGATGTTTAGCGAGAAACACACGGAAACTAGATTTCAAGTGCACATGCCAAGCTCATGTGCGCATTCTGCTCAATGGAAGGCACAGCCTTGGCTTCCAGCTTGTTGCGCAAAAAGTGTTCATCGCTGAGGTTGACAATGGATAAAGAAGTGATGATACGGTATGGAGAAGGGTAAAAAAGCCTTTCTGGGAAGAAAGGGATTTGTCACATCTCCTTCTCAGACAGCATTTGTCACGGCTCTTTCTCAGAACTATTCGGACACCTGGGTACAACAGCTTGCTAGCGCCAGGCAAGTCATTCCTGGGAAGTGAAGCAAGCCGCGCATGTGAAATGATCAATGTCTTCAAGCTGGGAGACTGCCGACAGCACTTCGGCCCTGTCACAGCAGCTTCCTTGATGCTTGGGTCCGATGAAACTTGGAGCTGGACCAACTATCAGAAATTCCCCCTGAAGGATAATCTTCCCGACCAGCACAAATCGCGAGTATTCGGCCCAAGGCACGTAAGCAGGACGAATGACCCCACCCTGAACTTCTGGCTGCGTCTGGATGCCAAAGACAATCAGAATGAGCTTCAGAGTGTTGCGAAAGGTGAGGCAGAAACCGATCATACAAATCGTTCCTCAGTTCATCCATGAGCCCATGTGGACGTAATCTGTACTACCTACGGGCTTTCGACAGTTGGCGCTTGTTTCTGATTTGCGCTGATGATCGCGTCAGGACACTCAGTCAATTTCAGTGACCCTGTCAGTCACTGACACGAGAAGCAACGCTTGGCAAGTGGTGCTGCAGCCATCCAGCATCCGACCGATTTCTGCCATGCCCTGTCTGCCATTGAAACCGCGCCCGTCAAGCCATGGCTCTCACAGTAAAGGAAGAGCTCCAAACGGAGACACAGCCAATGAGAAACCAGCTTGCACCTGAGCACGCGCAAAACCCGAAGCTTGGGCTTCGCAGCCTGCCATGCCATGTCTAGGTTGGGCTAAACGAGCCCACTCCAAGGCTGGGCTCCCAAGCTGAAGCGCAAGAAATAAATCAAGAGTCTGCTCACGGATGTTTGCTTTTTCTGCAATCCAATCTACGCTGACTGTGGCGTCTAGTCCATTGGCCGACCAGAGTTCGA